CATGCTGGGATAGTCTCCAGCTGGACGGGACAACAAACAAGGTCACAAAAGATGAATCATTCTGTGTGTGGATCTGTGCCTGCCTCAACAAACAAGCACAGCAGGGGTGGTAACGCCACATGAACTATGTCACAAACATACTGTGTGCAGCAGATCTCTACCAGGAGAAAGCGTTTCATGTTTCTCCACTAGGTGGCAGTGCTGTCATCTTGTTCACTCACCACTCCCAGCTGTCTCTGGCCCTTGTCCTCTGGGGGTTTCCTTTATCTTTCTTCAGCTCATGAATGAAAAATGATATCGGTGGTAAAATGGTGACATGGGCACAGCTTCAGCTGCTCCTGTTAGTGCAGCTGAGTTTATGCGAAATTAACCGGAATGTTAATGTGGAATGGTTAAAAGGTAACCCACCTATCAACCTAGCCAGGCCTGTTCCCAAGAGCCCTGAAGTGAAAACCCGTTATTTTCCTGCACTGTAATGAATTGACACCGTTTCCTACATAAAAGCGTTCTTTGACATCAGAGGCACTTTCATGTGCCTTCCTCAGAGGCACGCGGGGGAAAAAAAAAATGGGAGAAAAGATGACAAATTATACACCGAATGAATGTGAATGTTTGAGAGTCACATGAAAAGTACAACTTTTCCTTCTGCAAGGATTTTTCTCTTTGGGTTTAATCCATGGCTCGCATTTCAAAAGGAAAGCGCCTAAAGGCCAAACTCCAGTCCACCTGTGTTCTCATCAAGGGAGAGAAAGAGATCAGCCTAAAAATCTCATCCATGAGATTATTAGATGTATTATATATGAGCCAGAATATGCACTGAATGCACTGCTTTCGTTCCATTGGATTTTGGACCATTGCAGAAAATAAACTCTGTGGCAAACACAACTTTATGATGTTTTGTTCAGCGTGATAATCTTCACTAATGAAACGCCACTTCAATAAATGAATATATAAACAAACAAACAAACAAACTGTAAAGTAAGTTACTGCCCTTTGACTTTGGGGCAAACGAAACGAAAGCTGTACAGTGTTTACTAAATTAACAAGGGATCTGATTTGGTTTGAATTAGTAAACATAAGTCAAGGTGAGGCTTTTAAAATCCTATACGCGTCTGATAACGCACGAAGCTGAGGAAAGTTTCTTCAATTCAGTCCAAGCCTCCCACGCTGACCTTAACCTTAGGCGTTTCTGGGCCCTCCACTGTGAATTGTTCGGTACCGCTCTGTGTGCAAGGTCATGTTATTTTGCCAATTTGATTTCTTCTTTCTCCCCCGGTTTTCTGATGGATGAAAATATCTGCAATTAAGTACTTTTGCCGAGTTTGACGCGAGCTGTATACACAAACCTGCTACCCTGCCCTGTTTTGCTCTGTGTTTTATTTAACTGCAACACTTAAGCTGTCCTGATTCTGTGCGTATCAGACGAGACGGGACCACTGACCGCACCAGTGTGCTGACCTTTTCAGCTCAGTCTGCCTTTTTTTAAGAAATGAGTCCAAACATGGCTTGTGCTCGTTTGCTGCCCGGAGTCAAACTGTGGCTACGATTCAGCCCACAGCATCACATCTACCTCCATAAGCATTTCTGATTGGACGTTTGCTGCTGAAGGAACTCGAGACCTTACGAAACCGCTTAAATCACTCGGCTCAGTTACTGTGAAATGGTGCTATTTAGAATTTGACAACCGCAAAATTGGAGGCAAAAAAACGTGATATCCGGGCGCCATTTGGATTGCTGAGGTGTAAAAGGTGTAAAAGGTGTTTTGATGAAGTCGAGAGCAACTTGAATGAACAAAGGAAAGAGAACTCAATGTGCCAGATGGCAGCTGAGGGCTGTTAAGACAAATGTTCAGTGACATGAGTACTACAGTAAATACATCTTGCATGGCATTTGCTCCCTCTCACACGCCGAGGATTAAAGTCTTTTGTAATTATTCATTCACATTCACATTCACGGTTGTCGCCATTCAAATCAGTTATTTCAAATCCACGCTGCTTTAATAGCTTTAATATTTACAAGTGACAGCACTGGAAGTTGTTAGGAAGAGGCTAACTAATTGGATCATGTGTGGAACGTTCCAACAGCATTGCATTGTTTACTTCCTGTCAGCTGATTTTACTCAAATACACTGCAACATGGTATATATAGAGTGAGAGAAGGGTCATTCTGGGACTCACATTGGTGGCAAGCCGGTGACATATACATGCATTTGATTGTAATAGAGCACCTTTGTTCAAATTCATTCCAACCATTAAACAACAATGATATTTAATAATAATCCGGTGGGCAATTGTTAGCCAGCTCTCTCTTTTATTGTCTGGCGCCAATCGCTAAACTTTATAACGTTATGTCCCCATAAATCTGGACCTTTATACCGGTACTTGTTTTGTTTTTTGTCAGTTAAGCTAATGTTATCAATGTCTCTGTTCATAAATCCTAGATTCATTTTGAGATAAAACCATTAACGTTGGGGAGAAATCATCCTTGTTGACGTGTAAAAAGACAGGAGGCTGCAGTGTTTGTGAGTGATAGTGAATTTTACAGCCGCTGCCATGACTTATGTGTATGCTAGCAAATAATATAGCATCACGCAACGTTTTCTTTTTTTTTTTAAAATTTTTTTTTTTATTGTGTGGAAGCATTTTTCATTCAAAGGTGACACAACACAGATTATGATGGGTTACAGTGGGACTCGCCAAGCCCGCCTCATTCACATCAATAGAACTGGCACCAATGGCATGATTGGAACGCTGTCATGAAGATGTAATGCCCTCTCCTTCTTTTATAGGTTCCCTAACTGCAACAGAAAAATAAACTGGGACAATAGTAACAAGGAAACGAGAGAAAGCAACCGTTCCATTTTCTAGAGCTTCTGCAATAAAATCACTGCATTCCATTGCAATGCTGAAATACATTGATCAAAAGAGCTTGTTTGTTTCCCCTGTTCAGTCTCTGTATGCTCCTGGCACTTATCGTCCTCATTAGGATCTTCAAGGACCTTCGGCTGGTGTGATCCCATCGCAAGATGATCTCTAGTTTACTAATTGTGGCTGATTAGACTTCTGTTAGTTAAGTTTGTGACCTACACACAAGTCTTATCAGGGAAAATAAGTGGAAACACCTGTTTGGGTGTTACTGTTTTGCATAATGTCAGTGTATGTTCACAAATGGAGTGGTGCAGGCATGACGTGTTTTTGTAGGCCAAACTGGAAGTTAGCATCGCACAGGTTTCCTCAACAAAAAAATAAATTCCATTGGATTTTGGACTATTGCAGAAAATAAACTCTGTGGCAAACACAACTTTATGATACGTAGATGTTTTGTTCAGCACGATAATCTTCACTAAAGAAACACCACTTTAAGGATTATGACGTTGTGTCACCACCTCAAAGCTAATCAGACGGACTTGTGTTCTATGGGTTCATCACTGAGTGTCCAGTTCTTTGAGTCATTAAATAATAATGATGAATGCTACTGCCATGAGTATCCATGGCTAAAAATAAATGTCCGAGATTGAAGGGCATTACGTGGCGTATGGGACAAAAAAAAAGAAACTTAAGAGTTATAACCCACATTTATTTTTGTCATATTACAATTTTCAATGCGGCTGCTCTCCAATCTATCCTACTGAGTAAATGTTAAAGTGAAGAAAACATTTGGTCATTGCCCAAAAAGTTAGAAGCACTTGGAACCGATAAATGAGGAAGCCCAAAATAAAAATAAAAAAAATGTAATTTCTGCTGGCAGACAATAAATCAGTCACCCCTTGTGTCACATCGAGTCATCTAAACGTAAATGAAACAGATAATTATTAACAGAAAGGACACAGTGGGGACTTTTTTGGCAACTTTAACCACGACACTTAATGCCAGGAGCTGCATTTGCCAGCCGGCTATACTCATTTTTAGCACATTTGCAGCAACATCAATGCAGAGACATCGTGACGTAACAACTGAGGAGATTTTGCATATGAGAGAGTTTCATTAAGCAGCACTTAAGCAGTGGGTGGATTTGGTGTAGTTGCTTTCCCGTAGCTTTCCCACATACACAAATTATGTCTTCTGAGAGTGTCAATAGAATTCCAACTCACTTGGAAGAACTCGAGAAGAGAAGACTGTCAGAAGAAGTTTCGTGAAAGTCTTCCTGTTTGACATAACACAAACGATACTTTCCTCATCGGAAATAATGATGCTCCTTTGGCTCCCTGACGTACTTACAATTCCTGTCATCTGCTTCGCTCGCTGCTTAACGTCGTTATTAATCATGATCGCCGATTTGTAATGAAACAGTTGCTGAGGCGACTGATTAGGTTAAACGGCACACGCTTGTCTTTGCAGTAATGGAAGCCTGGATCCATTCATCACAACAGCGTTTACCTTAATATGACAGCTGCTGCAACACGAGAGATGCATGTTTAGTAGGAATCTGATGCATTTATTTCCATAAATGATATTTGAGCTGGAACAACACCATTCGACTGCTCGTCACACAAACACACACACATACGTTCGTGTTTTCACGACTTTTGGGGACATTACATTGACTGAGGCCCAATCCCAATCACCACACTAACGGACTTTGAGGCGCGCTCCTGTAAGGTTCCGTGAGGGTTTAGGGGCTGTCCCACTGTCCTGGGGGACAGTGGGACAGCTATTTTCAGATATTTTGACCCCTTTCTGAACACTTTCCGTAAGTCTGCGGTTTTGCAGACTTTGCCAAAGGGAATTACCCATAGTTCGTAACAAAGGTAAACAAAGAGGACGGCACATGGGTGTTCAGCCTGGCAAATTACATTTACTCAGAAACATTAAGGGTTAAAGATGGAACATCAAAACACATGAAATCAGAGGAATGGAAGCAGAGATTATATTACACAGATTTATTTATCAAACATTTCATTTTGTCACTGAAGCTGTTCTGACAAAAACGAGTAAATAGATTAATTAAAATGACCTCTCACCTTGTGAGGAAAGAGCCTGGAAGATGTTCAAATCAGGCGTTAAAAAAAAAAAAATGTACCCACAATTGTACATTATATTTTTTGATGTGAAGTCAGTAAGTCCCTGAGGGTTCAGGGTTTAAGGCCTTAGGGGGGGGACATTGGGATCGGGCCTTACATTAACTTCATGGAATTACCTTAAATGTCTAGCCACTACCAGCCTAATCCTCACCCACAGTCTAATCTTACCCTAAATTTAGCTGGACCCTAACCGTTAACCATGTCTTCACTCTCTAAAACGATTTACATTATGGGGATGTGCGATTGTTCCCAATTTGTCCCCCTGAATAAGATGAGTCCTCACAATGTCACTGTTCTCACAAGAGGGGTAGATGGTTCTTGATGAATCTCCATCTACTAGTGTCCCTGTAGTACTGTCATCCCCTCATGCATCATTATTTTTTCTAAGCTTTTCTCTTTGAAGGCAGCGTCTGCTGTGCAATGCTGTGAATTTCAGCCAAACAGAAAAAAAAGGCGAGGATGAATTGTGTTATGTTGCTTTGACATTCAAACATGAGGAAAATTCATTTTCCATGTTTATACTTTCAGACTGAAACGGATTTTAAGTAATGTATAAAAAATGCGTTATAATTCCAAGCGTGAAATGTCATTGTATTTACTAATATATTTATTCAGCCAGGCCTTTCTAATGAAAAGTCAAAGCATCTCTTTCTGCTGTACTTGTCGCTTAATGCAGTGTAACATTGAGTCCCTGGCCGCATAATGTCAGAAAATGAGAGCTGCATGTTTATTAGTTGTCCGAGACAGTTACAGTCATGTAAAGTGTGGGAGTTTACAAGAGTTTAAACAGAGGCGGTATCCTCCTGAACGGTTGCACAATGCCATAATGTTACAACAATGCAGAATGAAGGTTACTCTTCTTCCGACCTTACCTCAGGTGATTGTGAAATGACAAAATCATCCATCTTATAGAAACCCTTTTCAACACCCTGCATTTCCCAGATAAGCATTCTCAGGCTTTCATCACTGATATGATATCTGGAGGGTACAAAAGAAATGCCTTTAATCAAAGCACAGCAGAGAACAACAGCTCTGTAATGGGAGGAGGCAAAGGATTTATAGCGAAGAACAAAATGTGTGACAACTTCTTAAAGCAGATCAGACAACCTGAATATGTTTCTTTTTAAAGCTATTAATCAATTTTCATGACATGTTTCTTCATGAAACGCTCACGTTGTCTGGACACTGGACCACACAATGTTTGTTTATGAATCTGTGTGATATAGTGGGCTTTTTTTTGTTAATTGATGAAATTCCAACAAAGACAAGGTGGGCTGAAACACCAGAGACATGCACAAAGTATGATGCAATCCTATACAATCGCCTCGCAATAATGGTCTCTCAGAGAGATTTAAATTCATTGGGAGTCTTCATTGTTGATGAAGGGCTTCCTGTGTCATGATACTCATACACCCTTTTATTAAAGGTTGTCGTGATTTATTTTTATAGCCTCTATTGCAGCAGTGATTTGGTTTATTCAAATTAATTAACCTACCCTTTCATGATGTGAACCGAATGCCAACAACCTCGCAGCAATGTCCTTCCATCACAAGGCCACAGGTGCAAATTTATTGCTGGCCTCGGATACGAGCGTACAAGCAAGATTTAAAGATCCATTTATCAACATTTTATAAATCGACAATAATTCAGAATGTATAATGTGGAAGGGGTCACTCGTATGATGAACCCACCAACTCTGCAACGCCTCAGTGGTTTTTGGCCTCTTTTAGGTTTGAGCCTAAGTCCACCCACTGCATCATTTTGGCAAGGGGCTAAGACCCACTTCTTTATGACGAAAGCCTCGACGCAGCGTCAACAAACAGGCACTGAATTTGATGGATTTACTGAATTACACCCGCTGCTGGAAGCCTACTTTGCCGGCAGGAGAGCGAGTGCCAGCTGTAGTCCCCTAGTGGCGGGTAGCAGGGAACCACCAACTCGCTGTTCTGTTTATTTTCTGTTACCAATTTAGCATTAAAACATGGTGGAATTAGCAGGCTAACGTTAGCAAGCTAACTAGGCAGCCGCTAAATGAGTAAAATCAAAAAAAGCGAGTGCTTCATCTACACACTCTTGTCACCGCGCAGGAAAGCACATTGCTAATGCTAGATAATCATCAACACGGATTCACCGGATGTTGTAATGTGCTGATAGCTTGATTTCCAGTCCAAAGAAAGGAGAGAACAGGCTTGTGCTGTGCTGTAATGCAACACAGTGGTTACTGAAAAAGTTGAAACGATAGTACGTATGTGTTTCATCGCAGTACAGTGAATATCATTTAGTTTAAAGTTTAACTACTGAATTACTCATGAACCAGTTTTAAACACCAGAAAATGATACAGTACTTTCCCGTGTTTGCACGGGGAAAATACAACTCCAGAGAAATGCACCGACAGGACAGCAGTATTCAAAAATAGAGAAAACCATCTGACACCTGTTCATTTATTCAACAGCACCACAAGCTACCATGTCAAATATTAAGTCGATTCAACACGTCTTTGATGCAGCCTCAACAAAAACAAAAACCTGTCCATTGAAAGCTTCAGAGGGGTTTTGTTTGTTTGAGACTGCACTATATTGTTATTTATCCCACAGCCACATAACAACTGATATCTCTTCCCTCCAACCATTTCTAACTGTTCTCTTTAAAAAACAATCCGTGACAGTTATTTTAAAATCAGATACCTGCGCACACGTGTAAAACAGCCACTCTTATACCAGATTCCACTTTCTCAGAGCTGTCAGTGAGTGCTAATTGTTCCGGGATTTAAGAGTATCTCGCCCTTCAGGGCTTTTGTGCAATCTGCAGAAATACCACTAATGTCAGATCTCAGAAATCAGATCTCTGGAGTTCTTTTACAATGCCATTTCAATGAGATTCTGTTATCTGTTTTATTCCCTTTCAAGTGTAGATAGAGATTCCTACAATCCGTGTGTCCATACTTCCACCTAATGCACCTTTTAACCAAAGGCGGTTATAATATATTGCAAAAGTCACATGCCGTGCGCTCAAACTCCACAGTGTTCTTCCTGTTGATCACTAAGTAGCTCCTATTGAACACGTTGACACGTAGTGCTCGGTGTCTATTCAAGTGCAGCTGAGTGCTGGCTGTTGAGTGTAGGTAAAATATTCCTCATTCACTTTCCCAACTCATATTTTTTTGACACTTCAGGCATTTACACTGGCATAAAGCCTGTAGGCAACAGAGTAATCGTCTGCCCGCTCTGGAGGCAAGTCTCACTGCCCGCTGGCGCTGCACTCTGATGCCTTTGAGGGATTTATATATGCATGCAAAAGTTGTTACGCAAGAGTTTCCACGAAGCACAAGGCTGGATGCTTTAAAATTCCACCGTCGATGCCGATCAAACAGCCTCTCCTGTAACGGCGAGAGAAAGGCGCAAGACCTTGGCCGATCTGAGACCGGAGGGGTTCTCCGGTACTGATGTTCCACTTGCCGAGAGACACCACGCCTTCAGCAGACTCTTACTCTGGATTTGAGCCTGATCCGGACCACAGACCGATGACGAGGAGGACGACAGCGGCCCGCAGCAACCCCACGAGGAAGCAGTGACGCGGTTTTGGGCTGAGACATCAGAGGTATTGGACGTGCGACCAGGACTGGAGGAGTGGGTGGCGATGTGTCCTTGTGGTTTGGCAGCCAGCACCCCAGTTCTCAGGCAGCGTCCACGGAGCACATTGTGGAAGGCCTTTTTGAACTCCCGGCTGAAGCATGGGTAGATAATGGGGTTGATGCAGCTGTTGAGGTATCCCAGCCAGAAGGTTATCTTAAAGATGGTTTCAGAAGGCTTACAGGACGGGAAGATCGATCCTAAAGAGCACACACAGACGACAAATCAAAATATGAATGGAAACAGACACAATATTTTAGTAAACTAATTGTCTCAGTTTGTCTCTCTGTCCCTCCTCTCCAGCCACATTCCCTATTTCCCAGGCCCCTTCATTGCCAGTTTCCATCTGTCCACCAGATTCCCTCTCACTTTCCCTCCTTTCCCCATCACCTGCCCCGCCCATCTACACACCTGTTCCCACATTCCTCATCTGATCTGCAATTACTAGGCCTTCCCCACTCACCCCCTGACCTGCATCTCATTTACTCATCAGCCTCTCAGTTCATGTACCGGTCCCAGTTCCATTCATTACAAGCCACTTCTTCAAGGTTGTAATGTTTTTTCTTCCGAGCTTCTGTAACCTGATCCAGACCCTGAACCTGGAACCCGTACACCGCCTGTCTGTAAGTCTAGATATATACCTTCCATCAGCATTAAATCCCTGAACTCACCTGCTTTGTCTGCATTTGGGTCCAATACTGCATTTCCTGTGTTGTGACAATACTAACAAAAGGATTTTTAACTGGAGAAAATCTAAAACCGTATGTGAGTATTAGGAAATTTGTAAAGATGAATTGTAAGTTGACCACTGAGTTGGGACCTTTTGACACATAGCTCTGTGGAGATAGGTCTGGCTATGCGAGACTAGTGTGTCTTCAACTTTGTGGCACCAGTTTGGGTTTGGCCTCCTTCCTGTTTAAACCCACCGTGCACAAAGCCAGGTGCATAAAGAAGTGGTATTCCTAGTTTGTTGAGGAAGAACTTAATTGAGCCCTGAACTCAACTCCATCCGACCCCTTTGGGATAATTTCCATTAACCAATGTGCAAGACCAATTTTTCACAAACGCAACGCTTCACAGCGGCTTTACATGGTGTCATTGATGAGCAGCAGTCCCCTCCTTTTATGAGCTCTGTAAGCATACTGTGCAAGTGATTGGCCGGCGTGGTTGCGGCGACCACCATGTGCTGCAGCTCAAAACAGGCTCTCCATCTGAAGTACTCAGGAAAAACACAAAGTGAGAAATTCTGTAGTTTTTCAAACACCTCTCTCTGGGAATCTCAGACTATCAGTGCCTCAGAGCGCTGCGCTGTGAGCCGTGAAGGTCTGTCTCAATTGAAATGCGTAGCTATTCTCCGATGACTGGCTGCCTTGGGAGACTACAGGGTGACTGAGGATGCCTCCAGGCATTACAGCCCATTAAGCCTCACGCTTGCTATCTGTAATAGCTTTCATATGAGGGAGCAATAGTTTGGTTCATTCCATTTCATCTCACAGTCGAAGCCTATTCTGCTTCAGCGTTGTGTTTTATTTGCTCTCTTTGGCCGCTTGTAATTGAATTTCTTGATGTCCCTTCTGAGAAAAAGCGAGCAGCAGTAGAGTCGAGGGACAGCGGGGAAAGAGGCAGGTCCTGCTTGGTGTTGTGTTCATAGAGGAAAACGTATCATCAAGCGTCATTATACCAATGATTCAGGCCTCAACAGCTATTGCATCACAATAGCTACAATAGTAACCCACAGGGGAGGTTGCTGTCAGAGCTACATCATAAAAAAAGGCTCCGTCTGTATTTTTAGCCGTGATAGCGGCACGGCTCTATGGATGGCAATGTTGTTCTGTCAGTCACATACATGGTCAGCTGGTTAGTCCACCACTTTGGTCCAGACTGAAATAGCTCAACAACTATTAGATAGATTGCAATGAAATCAGATATTCATGGTTTCCTTAAGGTGGAATCCGGACTTAGGTGATCCCCTGACCTTTCCTCTAGACACAAGAGCAGCTACACATTCATAACAATATAGGACAATGATAATGCTCGTCTGCCTTAATGATACCGCAGTCTACACATCTTCATAACTGATGTATTAAATCAGAGTTCTATTGAGTGAAACATGATGCAGATTCCTCAGTAATATATAAAAAGTGTCTTTGCTGGGTATTTCATTGCCTGATAATCAATGATATATGACATGAAAGAATTACTCGTAAATCAGTGATACATTCTCAGCCTAGATGCCTTGACACACAGTTCAAGGTGTGCTTACTTCTCATTGGAATTTTTACAGCTAAGTGAAATATCCTCAGCAAAATCCATTACAGTACCATAAATCTTTCTGAGAATGATATGACTATAGCATTGACTAAAATTCTACAAAAATTCCACTGAATAAATCTTGACAAAAAAAAAAGAAGAAAAGTGTGACGGACTACAATTTCCAGTAAGTCTAATTTACACTGTCGCAACAATTTTTGATTGAAATGTCTTAACATCTACTGGATGAATTGACAAAGAACTTTGTACATGCATAAATAATTTCTAGATGATGAATCCAAATGACTTTGATCCCTAGACTTTCCCCGTTGCACCACCAGGAGTTGGACATTTGTGGTCTTAACATTGTCATTGTGAGCACGTCAGCAATAGCATTTAGCTCAAAACACCACTATGCACAAGTGCAGCCTCACAGGGCCGCTAGTAGACTCTTTGTGTTGTTGAAATACATTGTAGGCATTTCCACATGTAGTTTGAGTAGACCTGATCTCTCCTGTGTTTAGTTATATCACTAATGTAAATTAGGGTGGAATGTAGAGATATTGACAGTATAAATATAGTATTTACACCTGTGTTTCTCCTACTGTGTGACATGTCAAAACGTCTTCTGACAAAAAGCCCTTTTAGCGAAATGTTTCAAGAATAATGACATAACCATGAAAGTTAAACTAAAGTCAAACCTTAATAACTTGGTTATTGTGTAGTCTTAATCCCTGTGTCAAAAGACCTGGTTATCAATTCAGGACAGACAGCAGTTCCCGCTTTTTGGTAGAGCGACCCTTTTGTTTACACTGTTTACAAATTGGGTCCTTTAATGTGGCTGGTTGTGAATAGACACACTGGCAAAAAAAAAAGAGAGCGTAAAAGATAAAACATATTATTTGTCCAGAGGATTTGTTTCATCCACGTCCACCTCCATCCGGTATAATAGATTGTACCTTCCTTTCAATAAGATTACAGCTGTGTAACAAAATACACTTTTCAGAAATAATCTGTGACCTGGGAGGTAACTGCTGACAGACTATCACCCTTAAATACACACCGGACCACACTGACAATCACTTATCTCAGTCATGAGCGTTATTTCAGAGGCAATTAAGATTTTAGATTAGGCTTCACAATGGTTGGGCTCTGTCCTCTCTTACGCCTGCGATAACATCGCTGTTATCTCCTTCTTTGACAGAGTCTGACAAAAATGTAGGTGTAATTAATTGAATATGAAGTCGAGAATATCTGGCTCAGTGGATGTAGCAACTCATAATGTAGTAACTTGTTACATAATGCACAAAACTGTTATTTCGCTATGCGCTCATGGCTTTCTTACACAATGTGTTTTATATACGTATATACGTCATGGGGTTTTATCACTTTTAAATGATTGCATTATGAGTTGCTAGAAGTGGACATTTACCTTTTCCTGAGCTCCTGATAGCTCATATCTACAGTAATGTTTGACATCGACAGCAGACTAATCCTTAATTAGTTAATTTCTATTCAGTCTTGCCTTTGCATGACTGCATCATTTTTTTTATTAACATTTTAATAATTTTTCAGAATAAAGCAGGCCTCTTCAAGAAAATTAATCGAATGAATCATTTGAGTTCTCATTATGACAGTAATTCATTTCTAAATCATTTAAATTCCTTTTTTTAGATTCAGATAATACAGCAGATCCATCATTTAAAGTTCCTTTTTTGTCATTTTTCGCTGGAGTTACACCCCATTTCGTGCCTCTCCTTATTGCATTGCATTCAAGTCACAGAGCCAACGTAAAGACTTGTTTTTCTGAAAGATACTGTAAATCTATGACAGTCTTTCAAAAGCCCAGTAGTTTGTTTGACTTGAAACTGTTTTTTGGAAGTATTTCCAAAATCCTCAAAGACTCTTATTATATTGTATTACAGACACTGCACCATATAAAAAATTGTTTATCCTAAATTGCAACTCACAAGATGTTTTATCATAGGTACATTTATCGAAAAGAAAAGCAGTTTATAACAGTCCTTTTCTGGTATAGTTTCAAGTTGGTTGCAACTGTAGCTCCACCCATCAGTGATGTCATGGTGTACTGACACACCCTCAAGTACTCTTCTACATCACTGCAGAATCTAAACAGCTGGAGGTCAGCTAAAAAAAACAAAAACATTTTTGTTGTGTATATAAACATAAAATAATTGCAGTGTTGATGTTTGTTGATGTGTTCTACAAAAGTAAATATTTAAAAATAAAAGTATAATTTTATTAAACTGGCTGTAATGGATACTTTGCAATCGCTTGTAGTGATGAACCTACTGTTGAATGTTTCCACTCTCACTTTTCTCATAGTGTCGCATTCAGCAGCAACAGGCAGCTCTAAAAGCCCACTGTACACTACCTGCTGAGCCCCAAACAGCAGACAGAGATTTTTGTTGAACAGAGTGGAGCATTTAGCAGCTAAAGAGCCAGATATTTCCTCCAGGAGTCAGTAGAGATTGTAGAGTTGTTGCTTGATTCGTAATTCAGGTGACAAGTTCTTACAACATTTTTTTTTTTTATTGTCCCGCAAAGAAAACATTGCTTTGGTAAAGATGGACTGAAGAGTCTTTGAGGATTCCAGTAAAGCGTTCAAACCGGCAGTGAGTGTGGTTAAATGACCTTCTGGGTTCTTGAAGGATTTATTTTAGATATACAGACCCTTTGCTTTGTGAATGTAATAAAAACAAATGAAAAGGCACACAACAGGATTCAGGCAGACGTTTAGGAGGTACCTACCGATGGGTAACACCAGGAAAAATGGGAGCCAGCACAGAATGAAGCACCCGACAACAATGCCAAGAGTCTTGGCTGCCTTCTCTTCTCTTGAAAACTTCAGCAGCCTCGGCAGCGAAAAGGTGGTGCGTTTATGTGTCGCGGCCCCCTCGTCGCCCCCCTCGGGCTTCCCTGTCGGAGCAGCGTTCCCTCTGTGTACCCTCAGCATCACCCCCTCAGTCTCAACGCCTTTTCCCTCACTGCTCTTCCTGAGCGTCTTCGTCTCTCTCTTCGCCACAGTATACACGCGGCAGTACATGGCCAGGATGATGGCCAGAGGTATGTAGAAGGACCCCAGTGCTGAGAACAAAGCGTAGCCGGGCTCCTCCGTGATGCTGCACAACGTCTCGTCTTCTGGGTCGGGCTCCCTCCAGCCAAACAGGGGGCCTACGGATATGGCTGCCGAGAGTACCCAGAGCGCCACCACCGCGGTCAGGCCTCGCCGCCCCGTCGCCATGGCAGGGTAGCGCAGAGGGTAGCTGACAGCCAGGTAGCGGTCGATGGAGATCACACACAGGCTGAGGATGGAGGCAGTGCAGCATAGGACGTCCAGAGCGGCCCAGACGCTGCAGAAGGACCGGCCAAACACCCATCTGCCGAGAGCTTCCGAGGTGGCGGAGAAGGGCAGGACGGCGGAGCTGAGCAGCAGGTCCGCCGCAGCCAGGTTGGCAATGAAGTAATGAGTCACGGAGCGCCAGTGGTGATGGAGCAACACTGACAGGATGACCAGGATGTTGCCAAGGACCCCGAACACAACAAACACCACCAGCACCACCCCCAAAACCACCGCCTTGGCTACATCCATCCCTGGGTGGGCAGAGGAGCTGCAGTTGGTACAGCGACCTGCCGCGGGGAAAACACTGGTGTTCTCAACAGCAGCCATTGCTATCTGTTGATTGCATTGAGTTGTGCAAGTGTCTTGCAGATTGATACCATTCATGCCACATCTGTTACTCAATTACAGCTGCCTTGTTCTGCTCCTCCTAATGCAGCGGATAAAAGCTTTTGTTGCTGCACAAACTGCTCCGCCAGTTCATTTGGAGATGCAGCGACTGTTGCCAACACGCCATCGATCACGTGGTCTCTGGCAGGGTTCCTTGGCACGATGTCATATTCTGAAAGAGAAACAATGCCACGGTTTCGTTGTATTTAGTCCACAATAGCTTGACAGAAATGACAAATATTCATGTTTTAGGTGGTCACTGGTGGATTTAGAACAACAGGTTCTGTCATGCTGAAAGGCTTTAATGCAGGAAACCTTTTAAAACAAGAAAAGGGATTCAACACATTCAAAGGGTTTTATAAAAAATGGCTCAAAGGTCCAGTGTGTAGGATTTAGGGGGCTCTATTAACAGAAATGGAATATAATATACATAACTATGTTTTCATTTGTGTATAATCACCTGAAACTATAAACCGTTGTGTTTTCGCTACCTTAGATTGACCCCTTGATATCTACATAGTGAGCAGGTCGTCTTCACTGAGTCCGCCATGTTGCACCGCCCGTGTTTCTACAGTAGCCCAGAATGGACAAACCAAACACTGGTTTTAGAGAGAGTTTCTACGTTAAAGGCAGCCAAGGGAGGGGTGAGCGGAGGTGTTTTCATTTGGTTGCAATCTGCAGCCTATCCACTAGATGCCGCTAAGTCCTACACACTGCTCCTTTAAGTGCTGTTCCTTTAACAGCGTGGGAACTAATCAACACTTCCCACATAAAATAGAAGGCTTAAAAATGAAATTGAAAAAAAAAGTAATCATACAGCTCACAGTTTATGATTAAGGGGTAGAATATCACTTAATAGTCTCTTTTTACAAGATTCAGTCTTTCTATTCACAAATTATTCTGCCCCCTACAATGCTGCATTAGCAAAAATGGAGGTTATGCTTGAATGAACTAAATGACATTGGCAATTTCCTTATTCATCAAAAAAATGCCAACTTGTCTTTTCACCTCTGCAAGCACTCACACCATAAAACACCCCATTACTCATACCTGAGTCTTGTTAAACATTTATTTAACCGGACAGATCAATTTTAAAGCAAAAATATATATTTACTGGGAGGAGGCAACAGAGGTTGTGAGCAGTCGGGGTGGTGGGTGTTATAATGGAAAAGAAAAACAATGGACAGGACATAATCAAAAGCAACAGGGGTAAAAACGAGGACACCACGGCGGCAATAATGATCCTCGGGGGCAAAAAGAAAATCATCTGTGGCATTATGAGAAAACCAGCCAGCCATGCAGGGAATACAAAGATAAATCAAGGCAGAGATAATTCAGCAGGAGCCTGTGATGGGTTCCTTGAAGGTCTTGTGTCTGCAAGCTGCGCTCTAACTCAAACGGTGGATGACAGGCCAGGAATTGAACCTTGAGGAGAGAACTATATTACCGAGGCAAAGGCTTCGGCCCGCTGATAGTCCCACTCAGCAGCACTCTCGGTGTACGTGTTGGAGATCTGGTATGTCACTGAATGAGATAAACGGCGGCGAGGGAAGAAAAGAAGAAAAAAAAGAATGCAAAAGCAGTAGGAGATAAAGCCTTTGGAGAGCGGAGTCATGCTCGTAGTGTGTTCGTGCTGGATCAAAGGCTTTCGCTCGCTGCGCATGTCACCACGAGGCAGAACAAAATCTGCCCAAATAAAGACCCGATAACGGGATTTCCACGTCAGTAGCCGGAGGGGGAATTTGAAAATGAAATAGGTGGCGAATGAATGTCTCGGATTGTTTCAGCAGGGGACTGGCTGAATGCAGTGATACTTGGAATGGCTTTTTTAGCTCGTAATGAGATTTCTCAATGCGGTGAAGAGCCTGCTCAAAAGAGATTAACCGCATCTAAAAAGCCTATTTCCTCAGCCCACCTGTGTTTGAGGACTACAATTGCTGTGACAAGTGTCAGGCGGGAAATAGAGTTACATTGTCCCCGAGGCGATACAGTAGAAACAATTCAGTGACGGTAAAAATGACTTTATTCCGGCACATAAGTCTTTCCTGAATTTAAAAACATCTGGGACGTGTCATGTTGAAGTCCTGAAGCTGCTTGGCTGACACGTTGTATTTAATCATCATGTGTAAAAACCCAATTTAAAAACCCATTGACTTCAAGACGAGGGAACCGGAAGTGCAAACATGCTGACTCATTTCCTGTTTTTAGGACTCATTCCTCTGCTGTAAAACCTGTGCAGTTCTCCAGATAGGAAATGGAAGCAAAAATATCAGAACAAAAGCCCTGCGATACATGTTACGTGAGGGAGCTGAGCAACAAACAGAGAGCAAGTCAATTTAAGAATCAATGAAAACCTCACAAATCCTATTGATGCGTTGACATGTGCCCTATAGGAAAGACATCATCCTCAAATGTCAAGATGTCTGATTAACCTCAGAGCATTCACAATTGATTCATTTTCATTTATCAGGCAAAAATACCAAATATTTGCAAATTCCAGCTACTTAAAAAGCCAGAAAAAGAACAAGTTAAAGACATCACCTCAGCCTCTGAAGAAGTTGTGATTGGCTTGTTTACTCAATTTGGAAGAAAAAAATTAAATAAAAGATTGCAGAGATGAATAGACAAACATCACTAGTTGCGTCCTTAGGAGCATCTCATCCCAGCAGTGAGGCTGCACACATCTCTCATTCCCTGCAGGTAATATTTGATTAAAAGCCATCAGTGGACATCATTACTATCCAATTTACATCTAAAATCTGAAGGTCCACTGCTCATTTTATTGCATCAGTGGAGTTCATGGAAAGATGTCGCTTTGCCCTTGAAGAAACTTTCCCGTCAGCCTCCTCAGTGTGAGCGGCCATTGCAACATTTAAGCAAGGCAGCCAATTAAATCTCATATTAGAAATGATAATTAAGGTTCTGTTTTTAGGAGACAGAATATTAGTGAGCATATTAGATGGCTTAATGCAGCCTGACCACGGGCATATTCAATCAGAGCAGCAGCTCATAGCCGTACTGTCACAATTGTACGTGCACAATATCAGCATGAGTATTCCTGACAACATTTACTCTGTGTGTTTGCTTTTCTGAAACATAAACTGTGTTGCATTGTGTTCCACAAATCCCTCTACATTTATTGTATTTAGCGAGACACTCATTGTCGAGGTTGTAGAAGAAAAGATTACAGCTGCAGCACTTTGTTTAACCTGCGGCACGTCTGATTTATTGCTGCCCACGGGTTCTAGGGCGGGAAATTATTTTCATTACTGATTTTTTTTATCGACTGCCTGTGAAATGTGAGGATTGGTCGACAAATGACAGAGAATAGTGGAAAAATGCCAATCAAGTGTAGGGACCGCATAGACCTCTTCAAATTGCTTGCTTTGTCCCAATGATTTCAAACCCACCGACAAAGATCAATTCACACTGATGTAAAGCAGAAAACACAGCAAATAGGAAGGCGGAAAGCAGAGAATGTTAGTTGCTGAAATCACAATTTGTATTGGAACATTTCTCCAACAACACCACCGCTTGGACGAATGCTCGGATTTTAAATGTCGACTGGCGTAACCGTCCTTTAGGTCACATCAAAACAAATGAAATCCAGCATTCTTTTTAAGTACACACATGGATCTCCTTCACATGGTAATGTATTCTGCTGGCAGCTCAGGCCACTGTAGAGTTCAAATATCATTTGATTTTTTTACCAACTGTTATATAACAGTTTGTGTCAGTCCTCTGGAGCAGTGCACTACCATGATAAATTACTGTACACTTGAAGTCCATTTCTGAAAAGCTACTCCAGGAAAAAGGTGGGGGGGTGGGGGGGATCATTGCATCTTATCACCCTTGAACACTAGCTGCACACTGCCCTTCAGAAAGGAAAGTTAAGTGTGCTTTCATCCATCTGAGGCAGCTCTATCCCAGAGGCTGATGATATTTAATTTCCCTCAGCCTCAAACCATGAGCCTTTGCAGCTTTAATCACTCCTCGATTTCTTTTACAGAGGATCTTTATTTACAGCTCATTACCACTTCTGTGTTTTTACATTGAGATGGCCTACCTGTTGAGAGAAAAATGTTCTGGCAGTAAATCTAAATGAGGCTGCAAAGGGAAAGTGTTGTTGTTCATTATAAATATGAAACATGTTTGCTTTGTACTTTTATCACCTGCGAATACTTTTGAGCTATGCAAGGAATAAACAATTACTGAACATCAGACTGCATGAATCAGCTTAATCAAATGACGGAGGGAAAAAAAGCAATTTTCCCAATGTGCTCATCAGTGGCCAATGAAAAGAAACAATCATCACATCCTCCAGCTGAATAGAAAAAAATCACAAATAATCATAACGATCCATTATGGAAATTGGAAGTCAATCAGCCTGTGAAGTGAGCTGAGGGATGGAGGGAGAAGAAGAAAAAAACTTACCTCTTTCGGAGCGCGCACACATCTCACTGCACAGAGTTAAAAAGAAAGAGAAAAGAAAAGGAAAACAGTTCTTTTTAAAGCTAATTTTCTCTGAGAGGCAGTCGTGTGTTCTTCTGTCCGCCAGCACGGAGAGCAAGGAGTGCCCGTCTCCGCTGCCTCCTCTACTGGGAGAGAAAGTCACAGTGGACCCACCCCACCTGATCCTCCCAGGCCCCGCCCCCCTGCCCGCGCGGCTCATACCTTTTTTTTTAAATTAGCGAGTGTCCACGCACCCTGCTCGTTTATTTATTAACTGTGGGCGAGACAACCCACAAAGACGTTATCACGCACTTACTGTACGTTAATAATCAACAACTCAAGAAACTTATTTTGTGTTTGTAGATGTTTATAATAACGTGAAACGGACGTTTTTTTAAGTTCATACGAAAGGTGGATAAATAACACTTATCTTAAGGTACAAATATGCACTTGGAAGTTATAGTGGACTTGGCAAACAAGGTATTCATCACACACAGCTTAGAGTACTGTCGTCTCTATAGTGTTCTTCCATTGCGGTCAAAACACATCAGTAAGTCACACAACACGTTTTTTTTTTTTGAGTTGATCACAAATGCTCACCTGGACAAAAAAATATGTATTAAGCCGCTGCTGAAAATAGTCCCCAACAAATACTACTATGACTATTTTCTGCTGGTGTTTTTACAGCGCCCACCTGTTTCTATGAAATTATTTAGTTATTTTTCTAAAATGAGACTGTGACATTTTTTAATATTTCAGATGGGCTTGGGACTTGAGTGCAACAGACAGAACAGGGAAGTCAAACCAACATTGTTAGTTGATAAAATGTATATAATTATCATCAAATTACTACAATTTGAACTTGTGACCCCTGACTTACCGTCTAGCGTGACATCTTCCCCACAAGACAATTCCTTTTTTGGAAGGCAATGATGACATTGTTTTTTGTTGTTGTTTTGTTTGGAGGACTTGTTGAATCAAAGACTAATGGCTGCATTTCCGTAAATCTATCATTGTTCACTGTATATATTTGTAGTCCACTGAGGAGGAATCATAATGTTTTATGACCCTCCACCAGATTTTGCGACCTGGCTGCAGGGATACGCTACCGTTCAGCTTCAAGAGCAATGGCGAGATCGATACTGAAATTGGGTGTCTAACAGTCGGGAGTTCCAGTTCATTCCGAAGGTGTTGGATGAGGTTGAGTTCAGTGCTCTGCGCAGGCCAGTCAGGTTCTTACACTTGTGCACAGAGATATGGTGTTGTTAAGACAGGAAAGGGAATAAGAGCAGCTCTTGCCACAGAGTAGGAAGCACACTGTTTGCAGGACTTTTAGTGAGTCCGATCATTTCGGATGTGTGCTGATCCATGGCGGCTGAAGGAAACGGCTCGGTCCTGGTGGTGCCTGGCGTTATTTTGCAGAGAAATACCAGGTGTATTGGCGTAGACTCTGATTGGGAGGGGTCCAGTACGTCACTAATACCCAGAGGATGACTAATTGGCTTTTTCTTCTCTCGGGTTATTGTTTCTGCTTGAGTTATTTATGGCTCCTGTGACGGCTCCGTGACCTGACCACAGGTGTCTCAGATGCCTCCAAGGGCTCCGGCAGCAGTGTTCACTTTTAGACTCTTTTCTTCACTTCTGTCTGGCGTGTCAGGAAGATACATTCATCTTCACATGGCCGAGCTGTCTCATAAGTCTGCTGCCGCTGGATGTATTGATCTAGCGTATGGATCGTTCTAGTGTATGGGTTTATATTGCAACTTTCACTGTTCTGTCGGGGCTGACGTTATATTGTTCTTGGACTGGCTTGCTCCTTGTCCCAGAGTATATAAAAAGAGTTTTATCGTTTAGAATACATACACTTTATTTGGCACAAACAGGGCTCTGCAGAGGCTTATAAAGTGCATTCCATTATTTCTGTGTTTCACATGGAGGGACACAAGTGTCTTTTTGACCGTGCTAGCAGTGTGGCTCCATGAATGGCAATCTTGGTCTGCTGGTCCACCACTTTGGTCCAGACCAAAAGAGCTCAACAACTGTTCACCGTCCCCTGAGGATGAATCCTCAAGGCTTTAGTGGTCACCTGACTTTTCAATTAAAGTGACAAACAGATCTAAGTTTTCAATGATCTACTAAATGTCTCAACATCTAGTTGATAAATTGGCATAAAATGTTATACAGACATTCATGGTTCCCAGATAGTGTATCCTCACAACCTCTGTGATCCCAGGACCTCTCAAGCAAATTCAATTTCTAGAAAACTATTGGATGGGTTGCCATGAAGGTTTGTTTAAACGTTTGTGTTTCCCTCAGGATGATTTGTAGAGTTTGTAATAACTGTGGTCATTTAGCCTCAGAATTTATTTTGGACTTCTTGGCCTCCCAGCCGTCGGTCCAGTCTCGTTCTCGGGCTCGTTCAGATGAACAGAGGAAGTAAAATAACTGTGGATTCGGTTATTACAGCATTTTACAACTTTTAGGACCAAATGATTGAAATAAGGACTATTCATGTGTTCGTATCGGGAAGTTGATTTACCTAAAAAAACAACAACACTCTTCCCTACTGTTATTTTGAAACTGAAAATAAATGCCAACACGTCATGTATATCCACAAATGCGTTGTAATTATTTAAATTTTCTTTCCTTTTGTAAAGTCACATGACCAACTTGCTATCTATATAAAAAAAACTGGAAATGGTTTCAGGGACAGCTGACATTGTTTGAGAAATAAATCATGATATACTGGAGAGGAGTTGCCTCCCACACACTAAATTAAAGATGTTTTAACTAATTTAATTAAGTACTGAATATTTACTGTATCTGTTGAGAAATTTTGACTTATGACAAAACAAGTGGCACTAAATATACAAAACAACACCTTAAAGGTATATGTGTCAAGTTGCTCGGTGTGAAGATCTAAGAGGCATAAACACAGAAAGCACCTAAGGCAGTTTTTTTTTTAGGGAAGAGGCGTTCACCTGTTATCCTCTTCCTGAACCCGTCGGCTCATTTGCACAGGTCATGGAGCTCTATCAGATGTAAGCTATAAAGAGTTGTGTGTTCCTGCACTCAAACGACAGCTTGACATTTTTCTTTTTTCAAACTTGAGAGGATGACTCACACACTCAAACTGCACTTAAGACTTCAATAAGAGGAGTCTTCAATCCTCTTCTTGCTATTCCCTCCTCTCCATTTCCTTGATCCAAGCGAGTATTGAAGGTAAGCCAGTTTGCTAACCTGCGATGTGTAGCTTGCCAAAGGACACTCGCACCGGTGCCCATGCAATAGCAGAGCATTTCGACTTTTTTACCCTGAAATTGATCTATCTTAGTCAGGGGTCTCAAACAGGGGTGCCATGTGCCTTTTTGGGAGCACATATCTGTGTGAAAAGCTCTTCTCAACCATGAACTTTAATAAGTCAAATTACAGGTCCAAACTTACTGATGAGCATCTTCAAGCCATACTGAGGGTCTCAACTGCTTCCTCCCTCAAGCCAAATGTGGCTGAGCTGTGTGAGAGGAAGTGCTGCCAGGTCTCTGGTAGCAAGGAGTAGGCAAGAGAAGCCTATGTTCTGAAGAACCGTTCATGTTCTGAAAAACCCGTTCATCTTCTGAAGAACCGTTCATGCTCTGAAGAATCCGTTCATGTTCTGAAAAACCCGTTCATGTTCTGAAGAACCGTTCATGCTCTGAAGAACCCGTTCATGCTCTGAAGAACCTGTTCATGTTCTGGAGAACCGTTCATGCTCTGAAGAACCGTTCACGCTCTGAAGAACCCATTCATGTTCTGAAGAACCGTTCATGTTCTGAACTGTTATTAATGAAGATTGGATCAGTTGTACTTTTTTATGGAATACTTGATGCGGCCCAGCCTCACCCAGACTCTACCTCCAGCGGCCCCCAGGTAAGTTGAGTTTGAGACCCCTGCTCTATAGTATCATAAATAACACAAGACCGCTAAGACTACACTACTGTGATCATTGTGAGAAATCCAGACAGTCCAGGGTATCGTCAATTAAAAAAACTACTGGACAAAAGCTTTATTATAACAATCATCCAAGTCATTGCTACTCTGACCAACCATATTGCTATATTTGAACGTTCTTCATTATGCCAGTCGGTGCATTTAATAAAATAGATATGATCAAATGAATAATACATTTTTGAGGTACAGGGTGCACATGCAGCGCACCGTCTATCAATTGCCTTGTGGCACTTTAATAACGCGTAAAAAACCTCCGGTCATCGGAAAGTGCTAAAAAAATTGCTGATGAAAATGAACACCAAAATGGATTCCGAGGTGTGCCTGCTACACTGGAAGGTCTTACTTGGCCTGCCCCGGCCTAATCTTTTTATTCACATTTATGTTCACGCCTCCCGCTGCTCCAGCAGTCATAAAGAAAAACTCCTGAGATGAGCACGCTGCCTCGCCTGCTGTGGCAGAGCTGGCAGGACATCCTGTTCACCTCGACAGGCACATAATGCACCAGCCGTCGTGTTGTAAAGTTTTTCTCTGCTCATCCTTTCTTGAACTCTAAAAGTGTTTTGTCCCACAAAACCACTTAGTCAGGTTTAGGCAACAAAATAACTTTGTCAGGTTTAGGAAGTAAGGTAGTATAAGTATGGAAACACATAACAAACATCACTAATGTTACTTTAAAGTAACTTAACACAGGTCTCCAGGTTGAAGGTCCTGTGTTTGTTGTGTTTTTGACTTCTGACATTCCCAGCGCATTTTCTCTGGGCGTCTAATAATGACCCGGATAGGTTTACATTGCAGTAACTTGAAAGCCTGGTGCGTCCCATACGGACACTAAAGGGTACCTTGTGCATCAGTATCAGACACCAGATGGCGTGATAAAGCGTCTGTATTTGACACTCTGGGAATGAGAATGGGCCGCTAGTCCGCCCCATTCAAATCAATGAAGATAGACTAAATATTAGAGACTCCTCTTATTAAACACAATTTTATTCAAAGCCACCAAAATAGCCATAAAGTAGAATCAACACCTCTCTAAAACAGTTTCAACAAATACAGTCCAAAGTATAACCTTCATGAAGGTAGGATTTATTGCAAAGCAGTTGTATTGGACATTACCTTTA